TAGTATCTAGAGTAAATAGAGACTCGTACACCATTCAAAAATCACACTTAAACTAGTTGATAGTGCCGAGATATGCATACTCCAAGTTTACGATGTCACGTCGCTAACGAATGATTTTACCCTCTCTATTTCAATCTAATTTAGAATAACAAGATTCGCATTTCTTTCGATGAACAAATAAGAAAAACTCAACAAACAATCTGACGGACTGTTTTATGTAACTTAGCAATTAATTGAAGTATTTGAATTTTTTTTCAATCCTTTTAAAGACTCTTGAAGATTCAATGTAAATCATTCCATATATTTTTCTTTATCTACCTTCCATAAAATTCTATTGAAATATGGAAATTAATCATTTTTAAACATTCGAACTCTGACAAATCTAAATTAATTCGATTTGCTTATCGATATCTTGTAAAAAGATTGATCTAGTGTTTTGATATGCATTTTAGACTACGCAAAGGCTCTATGTCTATTTCTACAATATATAGTTCATTCATCTACAATGCATTTTGCAATGTTTTTCGACAATGATAATGATTTCATTTTTTCATATAATTTTCTGACAAATGAAAATTAAGCAGACCTATGATAACATATGTCGAGAATGATACTTATTTTTGTTCAATGATGGATTTATTTATTTGGACTTATTCATTTGAATCGAACAAAGTTAACATTCTTTTTTATATGAGAACAAACAGGTAAATTAAGTATTTTATTAATTGACTTGAATATTCTTATATTTCGAAAGTTCGAAGATAAATTGAAAAGTCTTTGATATGCATTGAAGAAGTGTTATAACTTCAAATATTTAATAGTGAAACTTTTTTCCAACATAACATCACTTTTATCTAAATGATTGTTCTATTTCAAAATTCTAGATGAAATTTCAGAAAGCTAAATGAGTTTCATTTTTTTTGTTGTTGATTTCGAAGTAACTCTAATATCTAAATGAAATTATTTACAGTGATTTATGACACGAAAAAGTACAGTTGAATAATAAATAATATACTAGTGACTCATTGAAGAATTTCTTTTCTTCTTTAGTATTAATACAATATACTCATAGTTTTGTTGTTCTACTCGTATTCACACCCACACCCACACCGATACCTACACCAACCACTACAACACTCCACATTCATGCCTCCATGTTGCATTCTGGATACGTTTAAATGCGTCAAGTCGCATAAGTGGCAGACGCTTTTAAGGTCTAAAAATGATCCAAATCATTAAGCATAATTCTGATATCAACATAGAAAACAATTTGAATTACAGACGCAATTTTATTTCTTTTATCTCCAGAATATATAGAATGTCTTAATTATGTCTATACGACTTATCACCATGCATATCGAAGTATTAATCAGCGTTCATGGCTGTAGGACATATATTGTTTATTTCTTTGTTTTTTTCACGTTCAATGATTACCTGGATTATTCTATCCACTACTAGAATGCAATCGTCAGAAACACGATTAACATAACTAAATATATGTTTTCCACTGCTAATTGCTGACCATGCACAAACTCCTGCGGAGATAAGTACACCTACACCGATTGTTGCTGCAGTTAATGCAATGCGTCCAGCAGTGGATAATGCTGTTGCAGTTGGTGCAGCTATGCGAACGATATCATCACTAAATGTGCCGACAACTGCTGTTGCATATCCAGCAGCTGTTCCGATCGCTTTTGTATCAAGCTTTGAATCTTTTTTTATTTCTTGTACTTTGACATATTTTCGAAATACTGACGTTTGTAAAAGACCATTGTCAATGATAAGATTAAATTGAAGAAGATATTGACCAAAATCATCATTTATACCGAATGCTTCTCTAATTTTATCTCTTGATAAATATCGAGGTAATTGATCACCGAAAGGTATAATTGCTGCAAAACCAGCGGCAATCTTATATTTCATTACATTCAGCACGTATCCTCGACGAAAACATGTATTTATCACTCTGTTCACTGTTTGTTTAGCCAATAGATGTATTCGAGAAGTGCGAGCATTGGAGGCTAAGAAGCTCAATTCGGTCAGTAATGAATCAAAATCGAATGAATGTTCGAACAATAGAAGATCAGCATCAATACTCATTGGTTGATAATCAGCTGATACTAAATAAATTTTATTTGATGGAATCGTATTTTGACTTCGTATTTGATCCATGATCGTCGTATGATATTGAAGACGCTCTTCCCGAGTATTCTTACTGTAGCAATTGTCCGACAATTCTCGTATTTTAGTTAAATAAAGAATATCGACTTTGGATCTAACCAAGATACATTCTCGTTTTAATGTTTCTTTAATAAAAGTTATCCAATTCTTTTGTTCATCATGAAGATCATCATCGGTAACTAAGATATAAATATCACAATTTGCCTTTCTAATTTCATTATGATAATTCCCAGCTTCAATCATATTATTATCGGATGTTCTATTTTTATCATGACCTTGAATATCTACTAATGTAATTGGTATTTCTATATTTCCATTTATTGAATGATATATCAATGGTTCTTTACGATCGAATCGTAATGCAGTGTAAGTCGTTTTCATACTACCTATTGGAGCTGCTTGATCATCATTTAGAGAGCTTATGCCAAGAAGACGATTGACTAAGGAACTTTTACCTGCATTTGTATAGCCAATGACACCAATACTAGTTGAAGGTGTAACAGAAGGATTCGACCATTGAGAAACTATATCTTGTTCGATCACATCGATAACATGAAAAAGTTTCGGATGAAATTCTTCACCGACTTCTTGTTCAAACATCCAATCGTTCATTTTTTTATGAGTATTGGGAAAGATACTAGAAAATTCATCATTGGAAATATCGACGGACAATTGTTCACAAAGACGAATGTAAAGAGAACCGATATCATCAGAATCAGGTAAAGATATAGCTTGTCTATAAAGCATTTTATACAGTTCTATACTGTTGCTGGCATGAGACTTTGAATGAAGAGTAATATTTGAAAGTTGATTAATCATATTTTCAATTTCTGTGTCTGTCTCATTTGCATGTGTCTGTTTACAAATACGTTTATGTGTTGAAAATAGATTTAATAATTGTCGTCGTCGACAATCAATATCAAAATGTAATTCTTTTGGATCACAGTTTGTTGTAAGTAAATGTTTTGTACGTTCAATACCATATTTATTAACCTTATCATTCCATATTTGTTGTTTTAATATGTTGTTTTCTTCTGGATAAGAATTAATTGGATATTCTTTTAAACAGTACATACATTGAAAAGGTCGATTGTTGCCATTATAAATGCGAATATGATTTACACATTTCGAGCAAAATTTTTGACGACATTTATCATTAATACATTGACGTGGTATAGTCTCATCGATGATGCCAAATGATCCCAAACACATAATACAAATATTATTCTCCTATAAATGTATATTAGATTAGAAAAGATAAGAGTCATGATTATGAAGACTTCAATACAAGAATATCTAAGATGAGTCCTATGGCTTATTGATAGAATTTACAAACTCATTTGATACTATCATATTTACCTGATATTCATTTAAGTTAGTCATTGGTATGTTGGACATAATGTTTATATGATATTTTAAGTATAATAATTACAAAGAAACTAAAATAATAAAATTTATCTGAGTTTCAATTGTATTTTATTAATATGTCGTATTTATTGGATAGGATGAATTATCTTTGAAATCTGAAAATAAAAATAATTATATAGTAAGAATTTTTATTCGAGCATAAATCGCGTTTATTATGAAAATAGGATGGATGTGGTGTAAATGTATTGCTTCTTTTCACCCACACCCTACTTTTTAGATTAATGAAGAAGACTTTATATGGTTGCCGTAAGAGAGTGAATATAAATGAAGACAATATATTATAGTCATATCTATACTCATCCTCATATAGATTCCTTTCTTTTGCCTACTACGAATCCATGAAAAAACGACACGTAGACATTCAAATCATTCGAAACATAATGCAAATATTCACCTCTAAACACAATGCATAGGTGGTGACTGCTGACGAGAACGAAAGAAAAACAAAGAAAGAATTTTGTCAATGCCAGACTGAATGAGTCAATCTTTTCTCATCGTGGTTGTCGCAAGCTTCTTCGCCTGCATATAGGTAAGTATCAAGGCCATATCAATAGAACGACTTATCTGAGAAAAAACTTTCCTTGAATTTTTTTTATCTAACTAAAAGGACAAGTGTCAACGATAGCAATTGACACTAAGAGATTGCTAGCTTTCCCGTGTCACAGCATAATGCTTGATCAAAAAGATGCCACCCTTCGATTTTAATGAATTTTCGACTGTAGAAATTACATAATGCCCTAGTAAATACCCTAAGAAGATTTTGGCTTGTATCGCTTTCTTCAAAAGTTATGCGTATTGTTATTTTGTCTCCGTAAGGCATAATTTACACTATTTAAAAGCAGATGGACTATATCATCAATCAGGTAGGTTACCGCTACATATTTTTTTTTCTCATACAAATTCAAAGAAATGTTTTTTTTTTCAAAATTAGTCTGTTTCTGAACGCTCCTTTCAGTTAGAGAGAATCTCAAAACATACAGAAAAGAATTCTCTATAAAATGAGGGTATACCAGTGTTCGTTACAATAAGTTTTAGTAAATGATTGGACTTCCACAAACGAGAAGGATCTATGTTTGATGATCACTCTTTTGCCTGTAATTTTACTCCAACCTTGTCAAATTATGCTGTGGTAAAAAAATTAATCGAGTTTTTGTAAGCTCTTGAAATTCTGCTCATTTTGACGCTTTTCCTGACTCAAAGAAACATCTTTGAAAAATGTCATGTTCTAGTCACCAAACATCGATGACTATGATTTTGAGCATTCTTCATGGATACTTCAGAACAACTTCATTTTTTGGATTTATAATTTTCAATGATCATAGTCTATCTATGTATCACATCATCTTCATGCTTTCTATACAATTAAATAGTCAAAAACAATCTCTTTGTAGGTGTGAAAAGAAAAGATACAAATACGAATAAATCTTTATCAGAGTGGTATTTTGACTTAATAAATAAAAAATCTTTAAAAAAAATGGAAGCGATACTAATATTTTTCAATAGAATTGAATATTCTATATTGAAAGAGTCTACTATAAAACACAATTATCCGAGTATCCTACTGAGTATTTCATCGCAAGTCAAGTTCTGATACAACTGTTCAGAACAACACATAGGGTTGTAGTTGATTAGGGGGAAAATAAAGTATCACTCATACGATCCATTGCTTTACCATTAAATTTAAAAAATCGCCATCAATAATCACTAACTTGCTACTTCTAGAACAATCGATGAGGTAAAGATAGACGTCGAGAAATTGTTTTCGCTCGATCATCACTTTCCATTTCAAGAGCTGAAAACTATGTTGATTTCTCATAATATCGACGAAAACATTCATTAACTCGACTTCAATTGAGTATGAGTATTTTTCATACATTGCTTTGCTAGAAGTTGGTCCCTACGGAAAACACTAATGAATAGCTAGTAGGAGGCCAGCGATCAGTGCACCATTTAATATCATATCATCTAATTGACATTGTTTGTATAAATTTGCATAGAGATCGACAGAACTTGATATCGTACTGCGGTACGTTAAATAGTTTTGTTAAACTATTGGGTAATAGATTGAGTTTGATTGAAATCCGTAGTTGAGCTAATTTTCGAAGTTCTCGTTTCAGGATACGTTTACCCACGGTGGCAAATAGTGGATAGAGAGGACCGAATAGTCGAGGAATCATGTCGCTAATTAATGTATGAATATCAACACTCATTGATGAGTTTCATTATTGGAATATGGATTTTGATTGAATCGCTGTTCGACGATTTCTTGTCAGAAAGCTTGGATAGATTCCATCATTGGGAAGAATAGAGTACTCGATAGATATTGTTGATAATATTCGAGCGTATCGAATAAATAACGATTTTCTTCTAGGCGAAGACGCATACACATCCGTGAATGACGTTTAAGGAAGCATTAAATCGCTGATGGAACATTATTGATTATTAACGTTCGATTACCAGTCAAATATGCAACATGACTAATTGTTACTCAATCACCATGTACACAGAAGAATCTTTCGGTACGATCGAGTATATACGTTGAAAGAACTTTTCATGATATGAAGTTTTCATGAATTTGTGATGAATTGACAAGTAATTATGTTGTTTAAAGGTTAGTTTTTGTTTTTCATTGTTATCGGTGAATCATACTGGAAACATTAAAGTTCTCATTTATCGATAGAGTAAAATAACAACATTTTGTGTCGACAAGTAGATCCTCTCATGGAATGTCAACAATTTACCTAAACAGAAGAGAACATGAGTAATTCCGATAACTTTGTTTTACTTTTATGATGGCATTCAGTGTTTTTAATGAAGATCTAAAATAAAATGTACCATATACGTTGTTTTAAATGAGCAATATAAAAAATATCTTCATATCTGATTTACGCAGTAAAAAAAGAGAATAATAATAAAAATAAGCAAATAGAGAACAAGAAAAAAAGCAATCTGTGTGATTCATTTAGAAAGCTTCACTACACAAAACTACAACATTAAGAATGCACATAATCATAAGAATCTTAATTTACTATTTTTCAAAAGCCTAAATAACCATAAGATCTACCAAAACTATCATGATCCTCTTTATCATCATGAACGTCAGTATGACTTGAAGAAAACTAAATTGAATATTGTAATTTTTAATTTTTTCTGCAGCTATCACATAAGTACTGGAAACGAATTGATATAAATCTGAAAAGAAAAAAAAGCCACGAAGTCAGATAAAGGATGCCATTCAACGAATAGTAAAAAAAATAGACCAGTGTTTGATCATTGTTTAAACATAATTTTTGAACTAAAAATACATTTCAAATCTCGCATGCAAAGTATACATTGTACACTCTGCTTTTTAAGCCAAATGTACAGCAGTGTGTATTTTCACGGCTGCAAATATTCTTACATTTTACTTCTGCTGCTTACACTTGCCGTTAGAAACACAGATGGTATTTATTTATAGATAAGAGAATGATGATTCATATTATAATGACTTTCTTTCTCCTCGTAATGCTTGGAATTGGTAGGTTTGCTTTCGATCGAATCGGATCGACTGATTGATATTCTTGAGTAAAGTTGGTACTTTAAATTTCTTTAATTTTTCAGAAAAACAAGCTACTAAGTTTTCAACCTCCCTTCTCAAAATAAAAGAAAAACAAAGTTGAATCTATTTTTATAGTTAGCAACTAACGACATCTGTATTACAGTGCACCTCAATTGATTTTCTTCCCTGTGGTATTTCTTTTGTTTTTATCACAATTATTTATTAATCTTTTATATGTAAAAAGAAGGCCCGGAATGTGCTGCATCCCCACGGAAAAAATTTTCGCTAAAAACCGATACTTACCGCGGGTTAAAAAGTCGCGTTTTATGGTGGTAAATATGAACCGCGGGAGTCAGACCGTTTATTAGGTTTTTATGGACCGTCTAAAACCGCGGTATCTTAAAACCGCGGTTATCAACGGTTTTTGAAAAAAATCTATTCATATTTCCCGAGGTAACTATTCTCTGTATAGATGTCACTTATTCTATAGCTTGTTAATTAACTCAAACCGCGGTTGTAACTTCGTTGCCAGTGCGGTGTCCATTACCGCGGTTCATCTCGATCATACCGCCGATGATTTGAATTTCTTTGCTTGTTATGAGATTCGAACTCCTTACCTTATACTTACAGTCCAATAATTCCATTGAACCATATCATGATGTTCATAGAAAGATCAAACATAATATTCTTTATGATAAAAACTAGAAAATATTGAAGATAGTCAGGGACCGCGCGAAAGGTCTAAGATTGGGGAGGGGGGGTGTAGCGAGTTTTGAAAGGGTGTAAAAATTTTTGGGAGGGTGTAAAAGGGTATTTAGAGCAAAATTTCTTAAAAAAAAACACAAAATTTGTTCCAAATCTGCTCCCGTCACTCAAAAAAAAAAACAAAAATTTTCAATTATTGAGGGGGGTCACCCCCTCGCTCGCGCGGCTCCTGGATAGTAACGTGAATGCGAAGGATATAGGTGTGTCAGTTTATATTTACTTTTAATTTTATTTAGTTATAAATTAAAAAATTTAAAATAAACCTGAATTCTTTTTTTCATAATTTAAATTTAAAAATAAATTAAAATTATTTGCACTTATAATTTAAATTAGAAATTAAATTAAATTATTCTATTTTTTTTTGGATACTCTATGTTATAAAACAATCTTCTTTTTAAACATTATATTTATTAAAGTAAAAATGGTATACTTTTAATTTTTTTATTGATGTAAAAAAAAATAAAATAAAAAATATTCTATTTTTCAAAATGAACCGATAGGACGGTAGTTTCTTAATAACATCTGAGAAAGTCAGATCCTAATGTATTTCTAAGAGAAAGCGTCCTAAGGAAATCGAATAATTTAATTTAATTTCTAATATAATCCATTAAAAAATATAAATAATTTACAATTACAATGACTTTAACCTACGAAAAAAATATTTAAA